TTCCTACACAGTGATTTCTTCCCAGGTATTAAAAAGTTGTCTCCTTCTTGAGCACCTAGTGATAGAGAGTAAATCACAACTGCACTTTCCTACAAGTTTTCAATGCACAAAGAACTGCATGTGTGCGCACACACCTGCATGTGTGCATGCGCATATGCATGCGCTGTTGGTAACGCACACAACATCCTGTAGAAGCGATGCACGACATAACTTAAACTTTCAAGTTAAGTATGAAAGGCCTAGAATAACATAGGGTGATAATATTAGGTGCCTGCAGTAATGCTTTTCAGGAGTTTTCAGAGTTAAAACTACCTTACAGGTTTTATTTCATTAATCTTCATAGATGTCTTGAGGGTTAGAGGTAAGTGGGTATTATTATTAGTTCCATTTTACAGGATGGAAGGCAAAGAAAAAAGTGGCTTGATCAGAACTTTACACTTCTAACAAAAGAACTAGGCTTTCTAAAATCACAGAGCTAGGGGCGTCTGGGTGGCTCAGTCCGTTGAGGCTCCGACTCTTGATTTCAGGTCATGATTTCACGGTTCTTAGGACTGAGCCCCGCATAGATCTCTGTGGTGGCAGCCTGGAGCCTGCTTGGGATTCTCTCTCTCCCTCTCTCTCTCTGCCCCTTCCCAGTTCACGCACCCGCTCTCTCTCAAAATAAATAAACATTTTTTTTAAATAAAATAAAATCACAGACCTAAAATCTGATACATTTCCCACACATTTGAAAGTCTGCCTGGGGTTAAGTGTCTGACTTCGGCTCAGGTCATGATCTTACCAATTGTAGGTTGGAGCCCCAGTCCTGCTCTGTGCTGACAGCTCAGAGCCTGCAGCCTGCTTCAGATTCTGTCTCCTTCTCTCTCTGCCCCTCCCCCATTCACGCTCTGTCTCTCAAAAATGAATGTTAAAAAAAAAAAGTCTGCCTTCAGTTACAACTAAAAAGATAATGATGCCTTCAAACCTTTTTATCAGCTATGATTATCGTGCCTCACTTTTAAAATTTTCCATTACTCCCCAAACTATCCCTTCTGTTCTAGTTAAGATGACTTTCTGACTTTTTGGCGCTGAGTTAGGTCCAGTACTAAGTGTTGTGTTTTCCAATACTAATCCAAGCTGTTCTATATATAATGTGTTGACTAACAGTCCCTTTCACACTCTCTGAAATGCAGTACTCTCTGCCTTTATTTTGTAATTTAATTCAGCTTTGCATTTTTATTAAAGTAACAAATATAAAAAAGTATAGAAGATTTTTAGTCCTGGAGATCACTTCTACAAACTCTAGTTCAAATAATCATTATAAACTTTATTTATTGCATTTTCATCTTTAGATAATAACTCCCTGATATAAAATGTAAGGGTTTAACTCTCTTTATGTAACTGCCTTTTCTTTAGCTCTTCCCAGAGTCTGATGTGAATGTTACTTTTTTTTAAATGTTAATTTTATTTTAAGAGAGAGAGAGGAAGACACAGTATCCGAAGAAGGCTCCAGAGCCTGATATGAGGTTCGAACACAAGAACCCGAGATCATGACCTGAGTGGAAGTCAGATGCTTAACTGACTGAGCCACCCAGGTGCTCCTAATGTGAATGTTACTTTGATGTTGAACAGATGGGCTCCTCTGCAGCCCTTTGTAGGCCTATTTTCAGCTGATCATCATATTGTGTTTTATTGATAAAACAACTTGGGTTTGGTTTCTGATTTAAATATGTTTGCTTAAATCTCATATTCACTGGTACCATCCTTTTCCGTTTCCTTCCCTCTTACAGGATTATTTCCTAATGAGACTTCTATGCTTACATTTCAGTGGATCTCAACACAGACAAGCTTAGTCTGGCATTCTGAGCCACGGGTCACTCCTTAGTGTCTTTCCTGTTAATATATATATTTTCTTTCCTCATCCATAAATTAATGACAAACACTTTAAAAAGTTACTTAATGCATTTCAATGTGCTCTGGATATAAAGGAAGTAGAGAGCTAATCATTTATGTGAAAAATAACTGTAAATACAAAGTTCATCCCTTTTACTTGTCAGAAAAGTTACCACAATTGAAACTGCAGAAGAAAGCCTGCCTCAATCACAGCAGCATGTAAAAATGTATACCTCAGAATGCAATAAACTCATTCTGGCAAATTCAGAGTTAATCAGGAGATTCAGGAAAAAGAGAAAATTCAAACATTTTCTTTGTCATTATTTCCCCACTGATATCTCAAGAACCTATAATTTCTCTCTAAAACTCTAAGACTACTTCAGATAGATGTAGAAAATATTACAGGCCAAAGAAGCTTTTAATCTGGAATTTTATTACTTCAGATATTGGAAGATATTCAGATATATCATTTACATCTGAAAAATTATTATTTATAAGAAGCCTTGATACCTTCTAAAATTATTTTTTTAAAAACGACTATTAGTATATTAAAATTTCCACATTTAGGGGCGCCTGGGTGGCACAGTCGGTTAAGCGTCCGACTTCAGCCAGGTCACGATCTCGCGGTCCGGGAGTTCGAGCCCCGCGTCAGGCTCTGGGCTGATGGCTCAGAGCCTGGAGCCTGGTTCCGATTCTGTGTCTTCCTCTCTCTGCCCCTCCCCTGTTCCTGCTCTGTCTCTCTCTGTCCCAAAAATAAATAAACGTTGAAGAAAAAAATTTAAAATTTCCACATTTAAAAATATAGACTTTTGAGGATTTTTTCTATGTAGTTAGGTTTCAGGATAATGAACAAAGGAAACTCTCCTCCCTCTAAGAATAATATTTCAGAATAAGAATTCTGTCATGGCATTTTAAAAAGCCATTATGATTAGACTTTTCCTGTGGCAGAATTTTTGTAAAATGTCACTTTATTTGACTGGTCTTACCTCATAGTGTAAACAGACATCACAGTAATTGTTCCAAATGTCAGCAGTATGAAATTTCTGGAACTCTCTCCTTATCTCATTATCCTGATAATTTTCTTAGGAAAATGTAAGTACATATTTACTACATTTGTCTTACGGTCATCATCTGTCTATGTACATAGAGTTGTATATACATAGAGCCCCTAAAGTTGTACAACCACATTTGTATATCTGGAATAAGACTAGTCTTTGCACAGAAAATAGGTGCTAAATGGAGTACACGGATATATAGGATAGGAACTCTCAGAATGAATCATATTTAGACATAGGTTAATTTTGTACAATACTCACTGCTTAATTGTTTCAGTATCTCAAGACTAGTTTCAATAATGACCTAAATATATCTCTGAGATGAGAAGTAGGAAATATGAAGAAGGAGCTGTATTCTTAGAAGTGGTTCTTAAAGACCTAACTGCTGGCAACTTCCTCCCAAGGAGCACAGATTCCCTTCTCCTACATGGTTCACTTCTTCAAGTAATTTACCTTTTTAAATTTCTTTAGCTTGAGAATTCTCAAAATAGCTCCCATTCCTCAGAAATAAAAGGTTGACCAATGCACTGTTTAAATTACTTGTGTCAAAAGCCTGCTCTTCTTAAAAGGGAGGAGAACTTCTCACTGAGAAGAGCCCAAGAGGTAAACTTTAATCAAAAGTGTGGGGGGGGGGGAAGGGAGGAAGCAGTCTTTACTATTTTTATCTATCTGTAAGTTCTATGGATGGATGTTTATTTATTTAAACGTGTTCCTGAGAGTTAGAAAGAATGGTAACAGAAGTTGGGAAGAAAACATCATTATAGTATAGTCTGTTAGAAAAGGTGATGCCAACTTTAACAATACAGCACATTCTTGGGAATCATGAGTCATACTGTCTTGAAAGGTCAAGTGTGCATTAGTATTCCAAAATTCAGCTTGGGATTCATGCTTGGGATACTCTACACCTAAGTGAGAGTCAGTCTGGTTCCTATTAGGTAGCAGCCATGTGTCAGAAAGGGAAATGAATTCATGAGAATTCTAGTGTGTCAGGAAGTAAAAACATGCTGAATAACAAGTATGTAAAGGCACAAAGTGACATGTCTATTTTTTTCAGCTAGGGATTAGTACCACGTAAGTAACTACCAGAATACCAATTTACATATTCTTTTGCTACACTGAATTGAATGGAATCAAAATAATTATGTTAAACTGAATATACGGTCACCAACTATGGATCACAAATGTAAACAACACATAATAATGGCCTTTGTGATATAAGTATCCACTGTATGGCATACTGGTAACTTTTAAAAAAAGTAGAAAATACATGCATCTGCAGTAGAATGAGATGACTGCTATGTTGCTGTAAATAGCGATTCTGGTCGGGCTTGAAAAATCTCCATCTCAAGTAGCTGATGTTGGTAAAACAATATGACCTGCAGGTTAATTTGTCTGGCCTCTGTTAAATGGCCCTGGAAAAGCAAGAAATTTCACAAATGCAAACTATGCATGCTTAACTGCTACTACCTGCCCATCAAAATCATACCTAAAAATGTTTTGTAAAAGCAGTCCAGAAACTGCAAGAAAATAAGAGATCATAAAACCAAGGTCATGAGGGCCTGGGTCCTTTTTGTTTTCCATTTTAAAGAATAAAGCAATCTTGGAGTGCCATGTTTCATACACAGGAGTCTGGATTTATTCAGGTACCAGAGAGATTGACAATTAAACTCTCATTTTTTCACTAGCAAGTCTACATGAGAACATCACAAAAAACAGGGTATGTTATGAGTAGATGGAATGAGTCCTAGGACCTGCCCTACAGACCATGACACAATCATGGCAGATGCTAACATTCGGTATATTCCGTTTCTTTCTCTCAGGTTCACAGAACCTCAAAAATCTGCACCTGACTTCTTGTTTGAGTCCTCTTGGACTTACTTATACCACTACTGTTATACTCAAGGCACAATACAAAGCACAAATAGATCTTGACAAAAAGAAAAGAAAAAGAGAAGTAAAGTTTGCTTATGAGCTATAAACAGTGAAACTACAAAACATTGTGAATAGAATACAGATGTCTGTGTTTTCAAGCCCCAGCGTGAGCAGAGCGGTCAGGGATGAGGACCACCTTACCTCTGATGTTCCAAGAGCATGTTCTCCAGCTAAAAGTAGCATGCTCAGGCCTCCCATCTGAGTAGGATCTAAAAAAGTCAACAAGAAATAAATCATCAATCCACAAGCATGAGGTACATACAATCCACAGAGTCGAAAGGGAATACTAACAAAGACTCAGAATCCAACAGAACCATATATAACTTTTTATAGAAAACTTTCAAAACTCTTTATATAGCAATAACCTAGCATATGTGCTTAAGTATGTACTCATACTTTTGTGAGCCTTTTAAATTCAACTATTGTCCCACCATTCCAACATAACCTGTTCTTCAGTTCCATAGTTGTTTAGAATATGAATTATCTTCTCATGTGATGCTTCGTGCCTTACTGAATGGGGAATTTAGATGGATTAAAAAAAACAAACCAAAAGAGTACTTATACTTAATGTCTAAGAAGTTTGCTATTGTCATTCTCAAACTATTTCTACCATGTAAAATTAGGGCTGATACAAAAACCAGACTATATGAGAAACTACAGAACAGAGACAAATTTTATAAATGGGCCTTCCGGGGCGCCTGGGTGGCGCAGTCGGTTAAGCGTCCGACGTCAGCCAGGTCACGATCTCTCGGTCCGTGAGTTCGAGCCCCGCGTCGGGCTCTGGGCTGATGGCTCAGAGCCTGGAGCCTGTTTCCGATTCTGTGTCTCCCTCTCTCTCTCTGCCCCTCCCCCGTTCATGCTCTGTCTCTCTCTGTCCCCAAAATAAATAAACGTTGAAAAAAAAATTAAAAAAAAAAAAATGGGCCTTCCAAAATCTACTAGTGGGCTTCGTTGAAATAATCTTTCTCTAAAACTTTCAAAAACAAATTTACACTAGAAAATGATGTATTTTTGATATTTTAAATCTTAGGAGTACAGTCAGGCCCTTCTTTGAAATACTTTTAAGATTTTAAATGAATCCTTTTTATATTAGTGAAGGTCTTTATTCTCTTCCTTCAATAACCAACGGAAACAAAAGGACAAAGTAAAAACAGCAATGTGGTAGATCTACAATCCAGAGGTATAATTAAACAAGTTTTTTTTTTTTTTTTTTTTTTTTAAGTAGACCTCATGCCCCGTGCAAAGCCCAACGTGGGGCTTAAACTCATGACATCAAGACCTGAGCTGTGATCAAGAATCAGATGCCACCCAGGCGCCCCTAAACAAGTAAAGGATTAAAAACAGTAACAAACCTATATCCTTTAAGATTATCTTAAATGAATTAAGTTTTAGATCTGCAATGAAATAACATATATGACGGTGCCTAACTCAGTGCCTGTCCTAGTGCATATAGGTCCTAAATAAATACGTTTTTATTTTTAGGAATCTCTCCTAAATTAAAAATGAGAATCAGAGGTGCCTGGGTGGCTCAGTTGGTTAAGCCTCCAACTCTTGATTTCGGCTCAGGTCATGACCTCAGAGTTGTGAGATCAAGTCCCACACTGGGCTTCATGCTAAGCATGGAGCCTCCTTGAGATTATTTCTCTTTGCCCCTCCCCCTAAAAAAATAAACAATTTTTTTTTTTTTAAAGAGAATCAGGCATACTCTTGTGTGAAGACACTGAGGTGTTTTTCTTTTCTGTTTAAAGATATGACCTTGAGTATATCCTTGTATACAATCTGTCTTACTCATGAAGCAACTCTGACCACATCTTGTATACAAATTTTTTAAAAAATTGAAAAAATAATCTGAGGTTATTAAAAAAAAAAAAAAGAAAAAGGTTATCATAGGGGAAAACAGGCCACCAAATTATCAGGTGGTCTAGAAATAGCTCAGTGTTGGAAAGTAGCCACACAGGAAGATACACATACAGAAAACACAGGAACTCTAGCTTTTATGATGAAACAAGGCACTTTGCTGTTGTTTTAAGATTCCACTTTTAATTAAATGTTGAGTTTAAGAACTGTGCTTTGTTAAACTAGACACTTAAATCTGTTTAAAATTAAAATAAGGAGGGGGAAATAAATTCAGCAGAAAGTAAAATTTTAATTTGGTTCTTCAGGGCAGCTAAATACTTTTACAGCTGTCATTCTAGGGATCAGGAGGACTGGATGATTGCTTTCTAATAGAAATAAAAATGTTTTAGTTCAAATATAAAGTAAAATAGGAACATGCTCACCTGACGATTTATTTCAGTTATGTACCAATGTAACTTTTCAAGAAGTTTGCTGTACAGATAATAAAACACAGACCAAAAATTGCCATCATCCTTTACATTAATTTACACTTACATAATGTTATCTAGAACATCAAAAATATACAGATAGCATGCTTTCCCTTTACCAACAAGGCCTGTACTCAATTAAATTCTATAGCACTTTCCCTTCTTGGAAATCATACATTTAGCTGCTTTGGGATTATTGAAAATAGCAAAATCTCATGTGACAAGGACTAATGGAAAAACAGAAGAGGCTCCATGTTGAGGAAAAGCTTAAATTGTCCTTTAAAGGCCCTGTAAGGATCCCTCAGATTCAAACAGCTAGGCACCATGTTTAAAAAAAATTTTTTTTAATGTTTATTTATTTTTGAGAGACTGAGAGAGAGAGAGAGAGAGACAGAGAGAGACAGAGAGAGACAGAGGGAGAGAGAGAGAGAAAAGCAGAGAGAGAGGGAGACACAGAATTCAAAGCAGGGTCCAGGCTCTGAGCTGTCAGCACAGAGCCCGACGTGGGGCCTGAACCCACGAACCGTTGAGATCATGACCTGAGCCGAAGTTGGACACTTAACCGACTGAGCCACCCAGGCAGCCCTAGGCACCATGTTTTAATTAAAGGCAAATCTATTTGCTTTCATTGTGTTGTGAGAGATACCACTGGAAATATCACAACAGTGTTATCCACTATACATACACCATCTCAACAAGGCCATGACCATGGAGTACCAACATATGTCACTGACCCTCACAGAATGACACAAACTCAAGAAGGTGTTTTCTGTCCTTATTTTACTTTAAAAGAACACTGTTTTTGTAAAGCTGACCTGTAAAAATCTTGGTTGATGTGTCTAGGTCTCAGACAGTTCGATTTGTAGGTATGAAAGGCAGATAAATAAACTGTCAAAAATGGTATAAAAAACAGACATCTTTCATAGTTTTCGAAGGTTTCATAGCTTTATCTACAATTATTATTGGTTTGTGAAGAGCCATTGTATGAAAAACACCTACTGTTGTTGATTTAGAACTGGGAGCAAAAGCTGTGGAAGACAAACGATAATTAAAGGAATTCCATTGCCAGCCAATCATCCATATAGTCTTTTATGATCCTGATGATAAAATGTTTTATTATGAAACACTGCAACTGATATAATCTGGAAAGTCCACAGGGCTCACCAAGACTGCTGGAAGGAGAATGAAACTACAGTTGTACAATGACAGTAAAAGTAAGAGCCCTGCATTTTGATTCTTCTGGGATACATAGGAGGATCATTTTGGTGGTTTACCTAGAATTATACCATAGACACCTACATGACAACTACCTGAAGATTTTGTTTCCTCAGGATGCTATTATGTCAGACTGCATTTCTTCCCCCCCCCCCTTTTTTTAATGTTTATTTATTTTTGAGAGCGAGAGACAGAGCATGACCACGGGAGGGGCAGAGAGAGAGGGAGACACAGAATCGGAAGCAGGCTCCAGGCTCTGAGCTGTCAGCACAGAGCCCGACACAGGGCTCGAACCCATGAACCGTGAGATCATGACCTGGGCCAAAGTTGGATGCTTAACCAACTGAGCCACCCAGGTGCCCGTCAGACTGCATTTTTTAGTGTTCATATATGACAACACCACATACTTTGTTATACTATGAATCACACACTGAATCACTAAGTTCTTTCTTTTATTTTTTAAGGATCCTGCATACACTTTTCCCTTAGTGGGTGCACCAATTTACAACAGTGCACAAGGGTTCCCTTTTCTCTACCTGTTCACCAGCACTTGTTCTTGCTGGTCTTTCTGATGATGTTCATTCTAAGAAGCTGAGGTGGTATCTCATTGTGGCTTTTTAATTTGCATTTTCCTATTGATTAGTGATGTTGAGTGTCTTTTGAAGTACCTAGTTGGTCATCTGTACATCTTCTTTGGATCAATGTCTATTCAGGTCCTCTGCCCACTTTTTACTTGGGTTTTGTTTCTGTTTTTTACTACTGACTTGTAGGAATTACTTACAGATTTTTGGATATTTGGATTTTTAATTTTGTTGCTTGTGCTTTAGGTGCCACATCCAAAAGAGACCATTACCAAGACCTATGTCAAGGAGCTTTATTCCTATGTTTTCTTCTAGGATTTCCATAGTCTCAAATTTCGTATTTAAGTCTTTAATCCATTTCAAGTTAATTTTTTATGGTTTAAGATATGGGTCCAGTTTCATTTATTTTTACATGTGAATATCCAATTACTCCAGCACCATTTATTGAAAAGACGATCTTTTTTCCATTTAGTATTCTTGGTTCCCTTGTCAGATATTGGTTGACTGTGTAAGTTTGGGTTTACTTATGGGATCCTGATTCTCTTCCATTGGTCTATACGTCTGTTTTTATGTCTTAATGACTATGGGTTTATAGCTTGAAATCAGAAAGTATGAGGCCTCCTCCTTTGTTCTCATTTCTCAGGATTTCTTCGGCTATTCAGCGTCTTTTGTGGCTCCATATAAATTGTAGGGGTGTCCTTTCTATTTCTGTAAAAACTGCCATTGGAATCTTGGTAGGGATTTCTTTATAGATGGCTTTTGGCTGTATTGTTTTAACAATATTAATTCTTTCAATCCATAAACACAGAAAACCTTTCCATTTATTTGTGTCTTCTTCAATTTCTTTCATCAGTTTCTTGTAGTTTTTGAAGATCTTTTACCTATTTAAATTTATTACTATTTTATTGTTTTAATGCTATTGTAAATAGGATCGATTTAGTCCTTTTTCAGAATATCTGTTGTTAGTGTATAGAAACACTACTTATCTTTATATGTTAACCTCATATCCTGCAACTTTACTGAATTCGTTGATTAGATCCAATAGTTTCTTGGTTAAGTCTTTAGGATTTTCCAAATATTAAGTCATGTCATCTGCAAACAGAAAATTTTACTTTTTTTCAAAACTTTTTTTTTCTTTATTTCTTCTTCTTGCCTATTGCTCTAGCTAGCACTTCTACTGTGATGATGAATAAGAGTGATGAGTAGACACAGTTGTCTTATTCCTGACCTTAAAGGAAAAGCTTCCAGCCTTTCACTATTATGAGGCACCTGTGGGCTTTCTCTACATGGCCTTTATCATGTTAAGATACCTTTCTTCTGTGACTAATTTGTTAAGAGTGTTTATCATGAATGGATGTTGGATTTCGTCAAGTGCTTTTTCTGTATTTATTGAGATGGTCACATAGGTGTTGAACTATCCCTGCATCCCCAGGATAAGTCCCACTTGATCATAGTGAATGATCTTTTTAATGTGCTGCTGGATTCAGTTTGCTAGTATTTTGAGAATTTTTGAATCTATTATTTGTCAGGAATATTGGTTTGTAGTTTTCTTTCCTAGTAGTGTCCCTTTCTGATTTTGGTATCAGAATAATGCTGGCTATCATAAAATGAGTTTGGGAATTGTCCCTCCTCTTTGATATTTTTGGGAGAGTTTGAGAAGAACTAGTGTTAATTCTTTAAATGTTTGGTAAAATTTACCAGGTAAGCCATCTGATCCTGGGCTTTCCTTCATTGGGAAATTTTTTATTACTAACTCAATCTCCTTACTCATAATTGGTTTATTAAGATTTTCTATTTTTTCCTAATTCAGTGCTGGTACGTTGTAGGTTTCTAAACATTTCTCCATTTCTCCTAGGTTGTCCAGTTTGTTGGCATATAGTTGTTCATAGTAGCCTCTACTGATCCTTTGTATTTCTGTGGTATCAGCTGCAATGTCTTTTTCATTTATAATTTTTTAAATTTGAGTCCTTTATATTTTTTCTGTGGTTAGTCTGGCTATAGGTTTATTTTTTCAAAGAATGAACTCTTAGTCTCATTAACTTTTTCTCTTGTTTTTCTGTTCTCTATTTCATTTATTTATGATCAAATCTGTCTTATTTCCCTTTTTCCACTAGCCTGAGCTCTGTTTTTCTTTCTCTAGTTTCTTAAGGCACAGAGTTAGGTTGTTCTGGGGATCTTTCTTGCCTCTTAATGTGGGCATTTGTTGCTATAAACTTCTCACTTAGAACTGCAAATTCTGCAGTGTTAGGTCTCCATTTTTCGTTCATCTCAAGAAACTTTTTTATTTCTCCTTTAATTTCTTCTTTGATCCATCGATTGTTCTATAGACTGTTGTTTAATTTTCATGAGTTTTTCAATTTTCCAGCTTTCCTCTTGCTTTTGATTTCTAGTTTCATGCCATTGTGGTCAGAAGACATTTGGTATGGTTTTAATTTTCTTGAATTCGCTAAGACTTGTTCTGTGGCAACACATGGTTCTATTGTAGAAAATGTTCCATGTTTACATAGAAACAACCTACGTGTCCACTGATGGATGAATGAATAAAGAAGATGCGATTTAATATACACATATATACACAATGATATATTATTCTGCCATAAAAAATGAGGGAATCCTACCATTTGTGAAGAAATGGATGCACACTGAAGGCATTATGCTAAGTGACATAAGTCAAAGAAAGATAAATGCTATATGATCCTAGTTATATGTGGAATCTTAAAAAAAATCACAGAAAGAAATCAGACTTGTGATTGGCAGAGAAACAGCGTGGAGGAAGGAAGAATTGGAGGAAAGGTGGTCACAGGTTTCCAATTACAAGATAAGAAAGTACTATGGATATAATGTACAACATTATACGTACAGCTGACACTGCTATATGACATACAGGAAAGTTGTTAAGAGAGTTAATTCTAAGAGTTCTAATCACAAGGAGAAATTTTTTCCCTCTTTTCCCTTTTCTTTTTTTATTCTATCTATAGGAGGAGATAGATGTTAGCTGAACCTATTGTAATCATTTCACAATATATGTAAATCAAACCATCAGTCTGTAGGTCTTAAACTTATACATTAATGTAGGTCAATTATTGCTCAATAAAACTGGATTAAAAAACTGGATTAAAAAGGTGTTAATCCCAATATTGTTCATCCTGCTTTCCCAGGTTCCCCATACTGTAAATGGTTCATGCTCTCATTTTGAAGAAAATTTGTTTATAATGAATAATGAAATAGGAACCATATAGCTCTATATCAACTTCATAGTTTCCACCCTGCTCAATCTCCCAACTTCATCCTGGAAAATTTCTCTCTTGATTACTGCACTGCAACAGCCAGGGAAGACAGAGCCATGTGCAGAATGAATGTAAGTACTTTATTTCATGGTAATAAATGCTCTAGCATTCCTTACTACCCAAAGAGTATTAAAGGCCCCATAACAAATGGGGCCATCTGGAAGTTTTCATTTGCCTGGGTCATACAGGAGTGGGGGCAGAAGGGGGATGGCGGGTAGAATGGGAATTCCCTCTAAGAAACAGCTGTCAGATTCATCTCAGACTTGTGATGGAACTGTTCATATTCTTGCCCTTGAGGTTTCAGATCCTCAAATGATCAACATTAATTATGGCTTTATAAGAACCCATGATAACTAAGATACTTACTAGGATAGCTAATAGTGTGTATGTATGTTTAAGCTACTTTGTTACATTATAAAATGCCCTGAGCTCTTAATCTCCACCTTGCGGTCTGCTTTCCATAATGTCAATGCCAGAAATTCACATATATGTATGACTCTACTACTTGGTTCACAATTCCTTTAGTTATACATACACATTCTCTGTATATCATGTTCCAAAGCTTTCAGATATGCTATATTTGCAATGCTGCACACTGGTTATAAATTTTACTTCCTTCACTCTCTTTCTCTCTATAGATTATTTATTAAAAGTACTACCTAAATGTATTGCCTTGTCCTTAAAAAAAAACAAAAACAAAAAACAGGTAGAGGAGCACCTGGGTGGCTCTGTAAGTTGGGTGTCTGACTCTTGATTACAGCTGAGGTCACGATCCCACAGTTTGTAGGATTGGGCCCTATGGTGGGCTCTGTGCTGACAGCACAGAGACTGCTGGGATTCTGTCTCTCTCTCCCTCTGCCCTTCTCCCTTGCTTGAGCTCTCTCCCTAAAAAAGAAAGAAAGGAAAAAAAAAAAAAAAGAACAGGTAGAAGATAGAAATAATGTCTAAACTCACCAGCCATTCCAAAGTTTAGCTGAGGCATTTCTTCGGTCTTTGCTTTCTTGGGGCTTGGCAAATCTCTTGAAGACTCAGATGGGAAGGCCCACAGTTTCTTTCGTGGATTAACAGTGGGTGTTGGGGATTTCACAGGCTTGTTTGTGGTAGGACACCATTTATAGCCAGGATTCGCTTTCATAAATGCATCTTTATACTATAAATAAAGAACAGATAAGATTTTAATTAATATATAGATTGAAAGTTTTAACAGACTTCATATCTCATCCTCCCTCCCCCATTACAAAATGAAGGAAAAATTACTTTCAATAACTTCTGTGGTTTTACTTATTGAATGGCAATCTCAGCATGCATTTAACTACTAGAAAGTTCATTTGTGGAAGAAGGGTACAGAGGCAGCACATTTGTTTCTTTCGACCCACATTTTTTTTTAAGCATCCAAAAAGATGTCTTACCATGATTAAGAGGGAGTTATTTGTAAGGTAAAGACTGAAACATCAGAGTTCAAACCCTAGCACTATGTGACCAAAGAAGCAGAACATACCTCTCTGGGTCTCACCCTTAAGTTTCCATAAATTGAGAACAATATCACCAATATGTAGGGTCATTGTAAACAAGGGTGTACAGCATGGCACCAACTTCAAAGTGGGTATCAGGTACACATTACAAACTGTTAGTCAATACCAGAGCCAGAAACCAGATTCTGTTCACTGCTTAATTTGGTAAGTATGGCAAAAATTAAATCTGTGCTTTGACATACGGGTAAGGTAAATACAGGCACACTTAACAGAGCAAAGTGACCAGTTTGGGGATAAACAAGCTGAGATCAAGAGTGGGAGAAGGGGAACAAGGTAGGGAAAACTGATGTATAACTTTTTAGTTATTTGAAGACGCTGGGCCATGTAGAGGAAAGAGCACAAGCGTACCTCAAAGATACTGTGGGTTTGCTTCCAGACTACCACAATAAAGGGAGTGTCCCAATAGAGCCAGTCAAATGGATTTTTTGGTTTCCCAATGTGTATAAAGGTTATGTTTACACTATACTACAGTCTACTAGGTGTACAGTAGCATTATTTTAAAAAAGAATATATATTTTTTCACGTTTATTCTTTTTGAGAGAGAGAGAGAGCAGGGGAGGGGCAGAGAGAGAGGGAGACAGAGGATCTGAAGTGGGCTCTGAGCTGACAGGAGAGAGCCTGAGGTGGGCTTGAATTCACAAACTGTGAGATCATGACCTGAGTCCAAGCTGGACGCTTAACCAACTGAGCTGCCCAGGTGCCCCCCCCCCTTTCTTTTAATAGATAGAGAAAGAGCAAGCAGGGGAGAGGGGCAGAGGGAGAGAGACAGAGAGACAGAGACAGAGAGCGAGAGAGTGAGTGTGTGTTATGGAGGCTCAATGCTCAGCATGGAGCCCAATGTGGGACTTGATCCCACGACGCTGGGATCATGACCTGAGCTGAAATCAGGAGTCAGAAGCTCAACCGACAGAGCTACCCAGGCTCCTCAACAATGAAATATCTTAATTAAAAGTACTTTGTTGCTAAGAAATGCTAACCATCATCTGAGCTTTCAGCAAGCTGTAATCAATCACTGATCACAGATCACCACAACAAACATAATAATGAAGAAGTTTGAAATATTGCAAGAATTACCAAAGGGTGGCAGAGACATGAAGTGAGCAAATGCTGTTGGAAAAAAAGGTGCCGACAGTCTTGCTGTAAAGAGCAATGCCATAAAACGTCATTTGGTAAAAAATGAAATATGTGTGAAGTATCAACATAGTAGGATTTCGACTGCAAGTGTGAGCAGGCTAAGAGCTGCGATGTGTGGTGTTGCAGTTAATCCATCAGACTCTATGTCTTGGAGGTTTCAACCTTCACTGACAATATTCTCCCTTCCTCCCTTCCCCTTTACTTTTCTGTGACTGCCTCCTATAACTCTCCCAACTCTGATGCTTCTTTCCCCTTCTGTGACCATAGAACTAAATGAAATACATTCACTGCTATTCATTATATAGTGCTAAAAGTCATATCAACTAATAAAAATGTATTTTACATGTATTCAATTATATGTGACTAACTGCTGGAAACTTTACTAAATCAATACAACTGCTACAATCCCATAAGCTTGCCTTTTGAAATGGTCACACCATGTGTAAAGTAAACTAATTTAGTATGCACTCCCAACAGCTTTTTATTTAACCCAACAGGAAAAACGGTTCTTTTATCCTTTGTATAAGAAAGCGTATATAATCCAAATAACCTTTTTCTATCTTTTCACTTTAAATCATATGAACAAAAACTGTACTGTAGGTAATACAATGTAAGTGTTCGTATGTTAATAATCAATGGTTTAGAATTATCCCCAAATTACCTTAAGTCAAGTTTTCTGAATAAACTTTCTTTTTTTAAACTTAAAAGCTGTACATTTGCACATTGATACACGGGGACATGCAGAAGGAAGGCAGACACAAAATAATGGAAAAATACAGTTCCACGTTTCTTACAAAAATAATTAAAATAGGATGCAAGGCGAACGAAACTAGAATTTACCACCAACAGCAGAATAGATTTGGAGGAATCAAATGTGATCTGAGAGACACCCTACTCTACTGCACTCACCTGCATGGGGGATTCACATTTTAGGCTGAGGCAGACAAATAGCCTTGCCTCCCATCTGAAGGTGGAAAGTGACAAATGGTAGGGTGAGGTGCAAATGGAAGTAGCAGACACATGCATCATTACTGTGTCCAAGTAAAAGGCACATGGGCTGGGTTTGTCAGATGAACAGTCATCTGGACAAAGGTCACCACTCTATAAAATGACAAAAGACTTTCAAACAAATTAACACATTTGCCATGAGGGGAAAAAAATGTAGTTTTTAAAGAAAAAAATTCCCAGTTGTGAAAAATGCTGGACTAGATGACAGACACTGGTTAAAAGCATGAATTAAAGTCTCTGCCTTCAAACTGTTTACAATCCACAATTAGTCACACAAACATACTATTTCTTTTTACATGTGGTTTGTAAGCATTCCCCTGGTTCAAGCATGAAAAATGATTCTTCAAAGGATCTGTAAAAGGGGAAGTGGCCTATGGGTTGAAGAACAGAAGGCAAGAGAAAGGCATGGAGCATGTGGGGTTTTATGGAAAATGGTAACTGAGAATTTACTAGGAGGGTCAATACTCTGGTAACACCATATTAAGCTTGCAGATACTTGATGTAAATGAGCAGTAACAAGACAACATTCATTAGCTCAATCAGAAATATACTGAGCAAAAGCATTAAGAATGTGGGGGACAGAGAAAAAAACACACATTCCTTGTCTTTAGGAATTTAAAGCTTACATGGAGATGTCATAAATTCATGTAAAGACACACTTGAACACCAAATAAAGGCAGAGGCAGAAAGAGCCTTGGGGTATGAGGATGTCTCTCTGTCCTTGGAACTGGGCACCTCATTAATCACTTGCTCTGATTCAACTATAAGAAACAACAGAAAGGCTTAATCATTTGTTGTGGTGAGGTTATCAAGAAAGGGATTACAGAGAAGGTTGAGTAATGGCAAAATGAAGGAAGACTGTATACAGTATGAAGCAAACAGCTGAGTGAAACTTCGCATTCTGGTCAACTCTGTGACAAAAATCCATCATTACAGGATTTAAAGGGTCAAAGAGATACGCCCCATCCATCTGGATCTTTGGGACAGGGTTCTTCATGCTGGGCATGGGAGGGAGACCTGTTTTCATCCAAGAACATTATTCACACAGGCTATTGGTCTAATCTCGCAGATAACTAACCTCTTGCTAAAATACCGATTTTCAAAAATTTCCCATTAAAATAAAAATTCACATCATGGCTTCCAATTTTTTTCTTTAAATTTCCAATTGATTAGATAACCTAAGTGCATCTACTTTACAGACACAGTTTATTATTTATATATACATGATCCTCAGCAAATGCGGGCTCTCTTCTCTTTGACCCCAACCACCACAACACTGTATTAGCAGTAATAACAAATCACTGTTATTCAGAGTGGTATTAAATACATACCCTTTGTCATGGTATTTTGCCAACTTCATATATGACAATGACATTTTCATATACCAAAAAACAATACTCTATGTTAATATTTTAAAAATTGGGTCACAACATTAAGTATTTTTCTGGATCATTTATAAGAAAGGAAATTTGACCCTAAAAAGCACCTTAATGTTGTTAATGAAAACTGTACTAACTGTTCTCCAATTATTTGTTTTTAATGGTGGTTGGGGGAGGTGCCATCTAAAATCCAGTAATATTTCTAGCTATTATTGCCATCTAGATTTTCTTCAGCACAGTGAAAAGAGAATGGCAACCTTGGTGAGGTCCAGGAATAAAGAATCCTGTAAATGTCTATACAAATAAAGACAGCTGAGAGGCACCTGGGTGGCTCAGTGGTTTGAGGGTCTGACTCTTGATTTCGGCTCAGGTCATGATCTCACAGTTCATGGGATTGAGCCCCACTTGAGGCTCAGGGCTGACAGTGCGGAACCTACTTGGGATTCTCTCTCTCTCTCTCTCTCTCTCTCTCTCTCTCTCTCCCTCTCTCTCTCTCTGCTCCTCTACCCCCCCCCCCAAATAAACAAACAAATAACAAAGACAGCTGATTCTGGTGCAAATATGAGAAATACCACTATGATAAAAAAAACAAAACAAAACAAAAAACAAACAAACAAACAAAAACAACAAACAAACAAAAACAAACCTACCAGAACCGTGGAGATAAAAATTATCTGATTTTTTAAAAAAGAGATAGAACATATTTTTTTATTTTATAACACTGCAGGGGTCTAAGTGACCCCCAGCATAATAAATTTTGAAACAGTTGTATCTCTTCAAGGAGGCAGCAGAAATCACATTACACAAGGGTGGAAGAGGGAAGGGAGATACTTGAGAAGTGGCACCAATCTGTACGGTCTTAGTTCCAGGAGTTCTAACTCTAAAACTGTTCACTTAGGGGCGCCTGGGTGGCTCAGTCGGTTAAGCGGCCGACTTCGGCTCAGGTCATGATCTCGCGGTCCGTGAGTTCAAGCCCTGCGTCGGGCTCTGTGCTGACAGCTCAGAGCCTGCAGCCTGTTTCAGATTCTGTGTCTCCCTCTCTCTGACCCTCCCCCATTCATGCTCTGTCTCTCTCTGTCTCAAAAATAAATAAACGT